GAATTGAACCTCAACATTAATGTTCCATGTCTCCAATTTTCGTGTTTGCAACGCGTTCACTACACTCAGAGCTAATTTCTTGCCGGCAAACCCAGTAGTATGCTTCTGTGGTAGTTTGACGTGTTGCGAGATTTCCTTCTATTTGATTCTTGACGAAGTCGACATCTGCAGCAATAGTGATCGTATTTACTGTTTAGAATTTGGGGTTATTACTAGGGGCGTGAGTGTCAATTCTAAATTTCCTCGCGCAACACTACTAAAATAAATGCTTACGAATGGTAAAAGTAGGCGAGGAGATGCAGTTACATTTGGCCTTACAATCACTGCACTGACATAGGTTAATTCGACATCAAAGAGGTAATGAAGGCATATATATGATCGCCCCAAGAACACGTATTCCTAAATTGTCCTTGGAGGCGATGGTCTATATGCCTTCATTATCTGTTAAAATTCCCGCAACTTAGTTATGAACACGAAAAGTAACCTGGGCTCATAGAAAAGAGATCGTGAGTTCTATTTCTTAGCGAGTTTCTTTTAACGTTTTCCAACCACATACCTAAAAATTGCTTTCTCCTTGCACTATGGAATGAATGGTAGTGGTACTTTTATGGTGAACTCAATGGTAGTCACTTGAATTAAATTCAAACTGAATTACTTGCGAAACAGCACTTAAGAAGTTTGTCGCTTAAGAGTGATCGCGTCACCCAGATGGCATCACAGAACGTCGATGATATCGTTTTGCAAACGTCTCGAGTTTTGGACGAGCTATTTAAGACGCTGTCTCGTCACTCAGAATTCATTCCATCAGTCTTTTGGTGTCTTCGGGTCTTACTCACGGAAGAGTCGTTCAGTGAAGGTTGGATGTTCTAGGTTATTTTGAGTCGATTATCTTTGTATTCTATCTACGGCTTCTTTGCATCTTACTTTGCTGCTGTTGAAAAGCTTACTTTTATAGAATGCGAGCGTGTTATCAAGTCTAGTGTTAGTCGCTTAGCGGAAATTTACTCAACGAAGTCGTTGTGGTCGCAGTACAGTATAATCACTGAGGTATGAAGGTCCTTTTAAATGTTTTTTCTTTATTTGAGTACGCCCCTCTTTTTTTGCGTTTGAACTTCCGATTTCTTTCATTTGCGTAATTTAGTTACGTCGTTGGCATTCCGGAATGTTTCTTTAGGGAATCTTTCCGTTTGTGGCGAAGGAGATGTACACTGTGCCACCCGCTCCTTTGCAAGATGTAGTACCTACCGCTCAAGAGAATAAACGTCAGTTTCTTTTTGGTATGATAGATCACAGTCAATAAAAGGATCGATATCACGGCGAATTCAGTTTCTGCCTTTTTGTTGAAGTTTTTCGAATGTGTATCCTTCTATTGTGCAGCTGCTTCTGTCAGCCCTTTTGCGCACTACCATACTGGCTACTCTAAAGTGAAACCCGTATGATTTAAAACATTTTGACAGCAATTTGTGGTTGGCTTTTTTGGTGTAATCAATAGTAATGACGAAGACCTTGCTGTTTTAAATCGTTCTTGCATTGATGTACTATCAGTTTGAGATTTAAGCTACATTTTATATTTGGAAAATTTTCCAAAGGTGTTTTTTTCTAGTTATTCTTCCATCGTACGCAATGGCTGTCGGTGAAAATTCTTCGTTCACGTTGGGGTTGGCCGCTGATGGGCCTGTCCGTGATGCACGTAAAGTCCCTGTGGAAGCGGTAGGTAATTTTCAAATGTTTTCTGAACATGAAGCAACTGGTCATTACTCATATAGAAGTAGTAACGAGTACTTGTTCTTATATTTTATGTACATGGTGTCATGTAATATTGCTGATAAACTAGTAGGCTGGTAGCGGTGAGCCCATGTGAAAAACGACATGAGTATATGTCAATACGAGTTCATTCTGGTGTCCAATCGAAATTTTCAGGTCAAAAAAGTTTCCATGTCGAATAGCCACACTTTGTTCCTCACCCAAAAAGGAGTAGTATTTGGATGTGGAGTTGCGTCGAACTTTGGGAAAAGTGACGATATCGGTAGTCTGGTGGTGAATCCTATCAAAGTGGATTTCCCTGGAGAGGTAATTCTTATGTTCCACCTATCGACTATTATCAAACGATTTTTTGCAGAACCTTCCCGTTGTTGATGTTGCAGCAGGCCCGCACCACTCTGTCTTCATAACATCAAAAAGTGTGAGTAATGTTTAACCTAATGTTTTCTTATCATTCAAGTTCGTCTGGTTCCGATCAACTTTTCTGTATAAGTTCTTATTTTCTTAGACAATAATAAGAGCTTCTAGCGAATATTTGGTAGCGGCTCTGTTTTACCTTAAGACGAGTACGCCTAAGGTAGAGAACTCCTTGCAGTGC